TACCAAATGGGATCCAAACTGGTGACATGCAAGGGGAGCAGACGGTGCATCACTGCTCTTACTCCACACAACCAAAGCGACTGGCCCTCTCACCTCCAAACTCATGGCATGTTTCACAGGGCCTGTATCAGAGAAGCAAGGCTAGAGGGTTTTAGAAGGGTTTTAACCACCAGTCCATCACCCCCTGTACTGCTCATTTTTTTTGTCGACAAGTACGAGACCGAAATCTACAGTGATCAGGCATGGAGGAGGCTTGGTGGGGATGGGGCTGGCGGGCGCACAATTGAAAGAGAGTGCCACTGTGTGACAGCCACATCGCACTAGGCACACTCTGCAAGCTTTTGGATGCCTCGTCGTTTCCCGTGAAAACCGCCCTCCCATCCCAGCAGGGCGGACTGCTGTTCCTCAGTTGGTACACCCAAGAAATGTTGAAATGCAGACCGGAATTCGAGTCCATCTGCCATAAGCTTATTTCTTGACTTTCTCGGCGTTTTGGCTAGGGAAGTGCAATCATGACACCTCAAGGCCGTGGCCCTTTCTAAAGAAAAAGGAAGGAAAAAAAATATCAACAGAAAAATAAAACAAAATAAACTGCATGCCAGCTCAGCAGGGCGGACAGCTGCATTCGAAACAAAGCAATGGAAAGAGCTCACAGGCATAGATCAGGGCAGACTCACAGTTGGGATGTATCTGACTGAAATTACGGTCAGACCTGGATGAATCTGACTGCGATCACGTCCAGAGCTTAGTAGAACAAGAGTTCGAGTATGCCCTCAGTTGGTACACCGACGAACTCTCTTGAAATACAGCCCTAAGTTCGAATCCAGATCCCATAGACATAATTCGGAAATACCTGTTGCTCTCACTGATGATACCTCGTTTTCTTTTTTGTGTTTTTATTCCAATGATGATACCTCAAGAACGTGGCCCTGTAAAAGCAAAGAAAAAGAAATGCAACCCCACAAAAAAAAGCAGACAAACAGAAAAATCGAAAAAAGAAATCCAAACAAAACGGACAGGCAGGCTGCAATGATGAGGGCTGCCTGCCTGCCTTTCCTTTTTGTCACACATGTTGCTGGTACCGGTACCATGTCCCGCGTGGTTGAATCTGTGGTCACTGTAGATGTCAGGCTCGGACAAATGCACTTTCTGGTTCGACAATTTAGCCTCCGATGGACTGGTGGTTTAAGTCGTAACTTCGTAAGACCATCACACACAGGTGGTCCCCGCTGACACGAGGCTACCAGTGACACAGGGGGGCTGTGGAAGGGCTGTGCCAGATGATTAGGCGCCTAAAAAAGGGGAAGGGTCCATTAGCACCTCCACGGGATTGAGGGTGCCTCAGACTAGAAACACCAAGGGCTACAGCCCCATCATTGTACCTGATTGATGTATCCTCAGGTACGCTGGACCCGGTTTCCAGCAGGTGCCACTCCCCACCAATAGACGGAGCAGCCCAACAGCCAAAGCCTCAATCCTGGCGGTTCTCTTACCACCGCCGAGATAGAGGCCTTGCAAGAGCGCTTTCATTAAAAATAAAAAAATTTAAAAAGAGAGGATACGATATTAAGAATTTAAGAAATGATCGATGAAAAACGAAAATATAGTACTTACTAAGTTACTACTACTAGTATTATTCCTCACTTGTTTCCATATATTGGTCGTTTCTTATCCGCCGGCCTTTAGTATGTTATCAACTTATCATCATTTAACTACTTTGAAGTTTGAATAACTGCAGAACGTGGAGATCCGTTAAAATTGGAAGGATACTGAGAGAGAAGATTAGCACGGCCCCTGCACAAGGATGACACACATAAATCGAGAAATGGTTGCCTCGCTGAGATTCCCGCATTCTGCCGAATTTTCTAAGTCTGTGTGTGTGTGCATGCTTGATGGTCTGCATGCCTGTCTGAGTGCTTGTCGGCCTGAGTGTGTGTGTGACCCGCAAGGGTACTTCCTTGCTTGGGAGGCCCTGTAGGGCCGGTACTTACCTGTGGCCGCGACTTTGAGGGTTGGACCGGAAAAACACTCAAGTAGCGGGGGTAGGCCCGCTGCACTTAGAGCAGCGGGAAAAACACTCAAGTAGCAGGTAGGCCGGTACCACTCCAGTAGTGGTCGAAGTGTCGGGTACTTGAGGCCGAGCAGAAGAAGACAAAAAGTTGGCATTTTTAAAGGCCCAGTAGCGGCAGGCTAGAGGTAGGTTGGTACCAGTCCTAGTAGCCTGAGTCTAGGGCCTGTACGGACGATATCAGAGCCTGCAATGATGTTTCGCTCCGAAAGGGAGGAGGTACCAGTTGCTTGGAGGCCACGCGGCCTGGAAGTCACTGCCCAAGAGGCAAGTAGGCCGCTATATCTCCAGAAGGAGCGAGTAGCTCCTCATTTGCGGTATGAAAGTTTGGACGTCGTGCTGCTTGAGCAAGCACCAGCATTCAGAGCGCTGGAGCAGGGAAGAGTGCTGGGCAGAGCAGCGCTAGGAGAAAGGAGGAGGCCGGGAGCTTCCACCATGGCTATGGTGGAGCTCTACCGGTAAGAGGAAGAAGAGGGAGACCAGGAGGGAGAGAGGCGAGGTGCCTACTTGGCTATGGTGGCCACCATCTTCATCACCTTGTTAGGCGCTGCATCAGGAAGGCCCCAGTTGGGTTGCGCCGCACCAAGACGCTCTGAGGCAGAGTCACGCATGGCGGCCTGAGTAGCAGCAGCATAGCTGCTTTGTGTTGTCCTTTGCACAGCAGGGCAAGACCCTGATAATCCGCCATAGCCTCAGCCTTCGAGAAGGAAGGGGAAGAGTGGCCATGGCTATGGTGGACCTCATGTGGTGCCTGCAGTAGAAGAGGGATTCGGATATTGATTCCGGTTCAGCCATTCATTCAACATTATTATTACTATTTCTTGTTTGAATAAGAGGGGAGGAGAAAAGGAGGAGGAGAGTGGTTGGCGAAGGAGGGAGTTATCATTGGTCTTGGCAGGTGCACATCTTCTTCTTCTTCTTTCTTCTTCTTTCTTCTTCTTCTTGATCTTCTTTCTTTCTTCTTCTTTTTCTTCTTCTTCTTTCCCTCTCTCTCCTCTCAAGTTCATTCATTTCTTTTTGCCTTTGGATGGCATTGTACTTTCTCATGAATGTTGTACTTTGAAATTGGCCAGCATCGTACCCATTATATTATCCTTATCGAAACTCGTCCTCTGGGATTTTCTTATTCGGTTGTTTATGGATTTACAGGAGTGACCAATTCTGAAGAATTAGCCAAATTTTTTACTGGTTATGAAATGACTTTTTTTGGGACTCAATCGAGTGGTATTTTCATGGGAATTTTATTTATTTTTTATGGAAAATAACTGCAGTTCCTTTTCATATGTGGGCACCTGATGTATACGAGGGTTCTCCTACTTTTGTCACAGCTTTTTCTTTTCTATAACACCTAAGATTGCTGTTCTTGCAAATCTGTTACGTGTGTTTCATCATAAGTCTTAATATCCAACAACTTAATTCACCTCAATTCAAACTCACAAGTCCTTATCAAAAGATTGATCGAACTTAATCAAACTTCAAATTTCAAACTCCTCTCTTAATGCAGCTCATAATCCACCAGACAACCAAATGTGGAAAGAAAAGGGGGATTATTACCCGGATTAATACTTTCAGATTGCCACTGTTTCTTCTGGGAGGCCACTAGCCTTCACTACCATTCTCGCTATGATTCGGGATCACCAGAGTAGGTTTAAAAAAAATTGTCCTAAAAAAAAAAAGCCTGACAAAATCGACTCAGTACCTGTCCGGGTTTTGACAGCAGAACATGCAAACACCAAAACAAAAAAAAACAAAAAAAAAAAAACAAAAAAAAAGATGGCTGGCACCCCTGCATGTGAAGTTCCGACCTATCCAAACCTACTTAGCACGTG